GGGGGGGGGGGGCCGTGGCCCCCCCTGGACTGAATGTAGATCCTCCCCTGATTATTTAGATTGACTACACAGGAGTTGGCAAATGTTCTTATTCTTCATTTTGCTCATTATATACTCTCCAATTTCTGTGATTTTTCCCCTTCAAGACACCACAATAACTTATTTGCTTTACAATTTTCTGTTTTCTCAAAATTTACTCCACTCTAATCCTGTATTAGCTTTAACAATTACATAATTGACTTTTTAACCATATTACCAACGAGACAGAATTGTTTTTTAAATGAACTAATTAACCAAAGCATCTGAGTAACGAGAATACATGATGAATAAACCATTTCCCAATGTTAAGATAAAGTACTAAATAAATCCGTCTGGAAATGGTTAGGATAAAGTACTCAATAAATCCATCTGTAGCATTAAATACGTACTAGGTGTCAGCCCCTTAATCATTGAACTTCATGCGCCAAGTAAGAATCAATCCTTTAATTATTAAACTTCATGTTATTATACACTGATCAAACGATCAATATTTTCTTTATTGACCAAAGCATCTGAGTAACAAGAATACATGCTGAATAAACCATTTCCCAAGGTTAGGATAAAGTACTCAATAAACCCGTCTAGAAATGGTTAGGATAAAGTCAGAGCCGGTCCTGGGTTTTCTAAGGCCCAGGGCAAATTTTCTCAAGTGTGCCCATTTATACAAATTAAACAAACAAATAAATAAATTATCAATTAATTAATTTTATTAAAATTATAAGATCTTTCAAAAGACAAGGAAAAACACTTTGGGGCCTCATTAAAACCTTGGTTGGGGAAAACCCAATGGGACAAAACCCCAAACGAAGGAAAAAGAGTACCCCGGATTGTAAACATTGCATTAAAAAACAAAAACTACATACTCGAGTCTACATGCTTCCTCCCAAATCTCCATAAGCATTTCTTGATTTGATCAATCTTCTTTTCATCCTCCACAATTAATCGAAGCAAAGAATCATCACATGTACCTACAAAATAAAAATAGCAATGAAATCTCAACTACAAAACATCATTTAAAATGTCTTCTTGTTGCACTTTTAGATGCAAAATCATCAATTATACTATCATATTTAATGTTCTCTAACATATCCTTTTCAATGCATAATATCGCTAATCCATTTAGCCTATCTTGAGTCATGGTGGTCCGCAAGTAAGATTTCAATAATTTTAATTTAGAAAAACTTCTTTCAGCAGATGCCACAGTCACAGGTATAGTCAATAATATCCTATAAGCAACCATTACATTAGGAAACATATCCACACTCTTTACAAACTCAAGAATTTTAATGGATGTCCATGGTTTATCTGTTTCATATGCTTCTTTTGGTAACATCACTTGCAACACCTGTAATTCTGAAAATAAGTCTCTTGCATCAACATCGGAAACATCACCATGTTTTAAAGCATTTTCAAGATTCACACAAAAACTTTTTAATTCATTATCATCAAGCGAAGTCAATTTTGCAGCATCAAATAAGAACCCAAAAATAGATTCAAAACAATGCAATTGTTCAAACCTACTCTTCAATTCACCAAGAGCAATATCCACTATAACAAGAAAATAATCAGTTCTAAATGATTCTTCAGCTGATTGTTGTTCCCTATCACTATTGGAAACCTCATCAAAATGCCTTTTTCTACAAACTTGACGTTTTTTTGGAAATATGGGTTCAATTCCCATATCAAGGGAAATTTGTTTAGCATCAATCATGGCAGAAACAAACCCATTTATTCTATAGTTTTCAAAAAATAACACAAGTCCTTCTAATTGTCTTACAGCAGCATCAAGACGCATGTCTTCAGATTGTAACTTTTTACTAACTAAGTTAATCTTATGCAAAATGTCATGCCAAATAACCAAACTTAATATAAATTCAAAACTTGAAAGCTCTCCTGATGCTAAACTTTGAGCATCCCTACTCAATTTGGCATCTTCACTAATTTCTGTTAATTTAAATAAAGCTTCTCTAATTTGGGAAGCTTGAGATTTTATTGCTTTGACACTTTCAATGTGACTTTCCTAACGTGTAGTTAACAATGATTTTAAAGTCAAACCATCTATGTAATCAAGTAACACATTCCATCGCTTTGTTGAATTAGAGAATACCGTATATATGCATTGACATGCTCCAAAAAAAGATTTTGCTTTAACACATGAGTTGGCCATATTACAAACTATTAAGTTGAGACAATGAGAACCACATGGCATGTAAAATGCTCTAGGATTTATATCAAGTAATCTTTTTTGTACACCTAGATTTTTTCCTTTCATATTAGAGCCATTATCATAACCTTGTCCCCTCACATCATCAATATTAAGTGTAAGGGACTCAATTACATTTTGCAATTCATTAAAAAGTCCTAATCCAGATGTATCTTCAACATTCAGAAACTCTAAAAAGTACTCTTCTATATTTATTGGAGTACTTGAAACATCTACTCACCTCAATATTAAAGTCATTTGTTCTTTGTGACTTGCATCAGGAGTACAATCAAGAATGACAGAAAAATATTTAGCTGTTTTTATTTTTTCAATGATTGCATGTTTAACATTTGATGCTAAAATAGCTATCAACTCATTTTGAATTTTATGGCTAAGATAATGATAATGAATCTTCTTATCTTGAATGAGTCGAAAATGGTGTTGCATTACTGGATCAAACTCTGCAATCATTTCAAGCAGGCCTAAAAAGTTACCATTACCATCTTCATAAATTTTTTCATTTGTTCCACGAAAAGCCAAATTATGTGTAGCAAGACATTTCACAACAGCAATGATTCTGACAATAACATTTTTCCAGTGTAGTGTATCTTTCTTGATTAGCTCTTGTAATTCTGTATCAATTGTTTGATTTGTTTTCAATCTGATTTGCAATTCAACACAAGACCTCAAGTTAGTGAGGTGTCAAATACTGCTTTCATGTTGTTTAAGCTTCTCACCAAGATGGTTTCAATCTCTAATTCCTTCACTAGTTAACTGACTTCTAGAATTCATTGTTTTAAACAACTTACAACAGAAACAAAACACTTTATCCAACTCCTTTGAGTACACTAGCCATTTTCGATCCTTAGTTTCCCCATTTGGTAACGTACGAATATAATAATTTGAAGAAAAATGTCTATTGTGTTCGTCCATGGGGAATTTGAGATTAGTTTCTCTTAGGGGACCTTTTTCTACAAGTAAATCTCTCATTTTTGCATCAAGATTATCCCAAACTCGTGGATCATAAATGTTCAAATCAAATCTTGTTTCGGGACATTCATTTTCATGGCAAGGTTCATCAATATTTTCATTTTCATCAAGGAAAGGTTCATCACTATTTTCATTTTCATCTAGATCACCAATTTCTTCATTCGCATCATTCTCATTTTCTACTAATTCTTCCAATTGACTTGAGTGTTCATATTCATTTGGTAAATCATCTTCATCTAAATTTTCAAGTGAAGCATTGGTTTGTTTAACAAAATATTTATTCAAAGATCCTCTTAAACTTTGAGCAATTTCATCATTTTTTTTCTTTTTTTGTCTCTTAAGATTTCCGGAAAGTTGTTTCTTAGGAAACATTTTTCAATTTTTATAATAAACACTTAACAAAGAACAAAGAACAAAGAACAAAGAACAAAGAACAATAAAACCTGGATTTTGAGCATATCAGTCCAGTCGAACCCCACGAGGTCAGAGTTGGGGCTTAATCAAGAGCATCCTGATGATCCTGATTCCTGATACAAAAGTTTAGATTAAATACTGAACCACAAAATCAAGAGTTAATGAGTTATCAAAGAAAGTTCAACATTTCAGAGCTCATACACAATTGAAATTATTGAATAACATAAGCAAAACGCCAAAACCCCCAACTGGTTTAATCTCATAGCAGTTTCCCTAAGCTCAGCTGTTTCCCCAATTCAATCTATTAATCTAAAAAATAAAGAATTTCAGAGAGATTCCAAAAACTTCAAGCAGTTTCCCCAATTCAATCTATTAATCTAAAAATAAAGAATTTCAGAGAATTTTGAGAAATACCCAAATGGTGAACTGGTGAACTGGTGAAGAAGAGGCGGTGGGTTGATGAGGTGAACTGGTGAAGAAGAGGCAGTGGGTTGATGGGAAAATTACTCTCTCCGGAGTTTGAGGTTGAAGAGCCGAAGAGGTGAACTGGTGAACTTTTCGTTGTTTTGGCAGAGCCTGAGAGCCGCAGAGATTGGAGGTAGGAGACTACGAGGGCGGAGTTCGAGGTCATTGAACGGCGCGATGTACGCCACGTGTGCAGCATCGGATGTGAGCCAGTTGAAGAGTGTGAGGGAGGACCGGAGGGCATTAAGGACCGCTGCTTGACCGGAGGACATTAAGGACCGCTGCTTGCTATGAGCCTATGAGTTGAAAGCTCTCCTGCTGCAAAAGTGCAAAGCCGACCTAGGGCCTAGGGGTGAAGAAGAGGCAGCTTGCTATGAGTTGTAATCACTATCATGGGTACATTTGTGGGGCCAATGAAATACAAATAGATGTTAGTTCACCTGTAATTTGCTCACCCACCTGGTGCCCCCCTCAGCTGTGGGCCCCGGGCTATAGCCCTGGTGGCCCTAGCTTAGGGCCGGCTCTGGATAAAGTACTCAATAAATCCATCTGTAGCATTAAATGCGTACTAGGTGTCAGCCCCTTAATCATTGAACTTCATGCACCAAGTAAGAATCAATCCTTAAATTATTAAACTTCATGTTATTATACACTGATCAAACGATCAATATTTCCTTTATTGACCAAAGCATCTGAGTAACGAGAATACATGCTGAATAAACCATTTCCCAAGGTTAGGATAAAGTACTCAATAAATCTGTCTGGAAATGATTAAGATAAAGTACTCAATAAATCCGTCTGTAGCATTAAATGCGTACTAGGTGTCAGCCCCTTAATCATTGAACTTCATGCGCCAAGTAAGAATCAATCCTTAAGCTATTAAACTTCATATTATATACACTGATCAAACGATCAATATTTCCTTTATTGCACATTTAATATCATAAACCAAATTCATAGAATACATTCTCAAAGCATGGGCCCTACCGTCCGCACACGGGCACCAGACATTGAACATGACAAGAGATATAACCTTCTACAACAAACATAGTAGAAATATATGATGATGAAAGACGAAAAGGCAACACAGGAAAATCAATTCCAAAAAATCAACTCCGTTCACCTTTATTAGTTTCTATGATGAAGAGAAGGAAAACATATTAATATCTTTGGATCAGTATAATGTCTTTAGATTTCCCTGATATCCCATACAAGTGTATACACTGATCACATACAAGGAATGATATTTATCCTAGTTCTACAACAAAAGACCAGGATCCCAGCAGCAACGTTCAGCAACATGTTCTACAATTTTAGTGAATCAGGACATTTCGGTCTTCATTCCTCAAGAAGAGTGTTGCGTATGTGAATTCAAAGACATATTGGGGGCCTTTTTTCTATTTGCCTTTTACTTTCAGCAAGGTTTTTGCTGAAGCTCATTCTACATTTTACACATTTTGATCAGCAGATATGTGCTCTAATTGATCTTGGGCTTAACTCTTCGAGGTCTTAGCACGAACCAAAGAATGCCAAAAACCACCAAAAATGCAGGCACTGTTGTGAGGTCTACCTCTACATCGACTTTCCTCTGGCGAGTGCAATGGATTGGATGCAATGCAGCAATGGTGGAATTTACATGATCTACAAACCTGCAAAAATAAGAAGGAAAAAAAACAGTATAACAATTATGTACAGCTTACTGTAATATAGCTATTGTATTCAAGTGTTCGTCATATCAATCTTATTTTCCAACCAAATTAGGTTCAATTATGTTGCATGCCTCTAAACAAGAAAGTACAAACTCAAAAACTGGTGTATGTGTGCGCGCGAGTTTCCTTTCCTTTTTTTCGTTTGGAGTGTGTGCGCGCGCGTTTCCTTTCTTTTTTTTCCTTTTGGAGTGTGTGTGCGCGCACACAGACGTTTTGGATTTGGGAGTTGGTGCTAAAGCATACATGAATAATGCATGCCCCTAAACATATGATTCACATATGTGCTTGGATCTACTCCCTGGTAATCTTGCAACAACTGGCCAAACAATTCATGTGTCCAAAAATAGACTTAATCTAAGCAAGAAGCACGGAAATCATTTTACTATGTAACTCCAGGTTTTTTCACAGCAACCTCCTTTATAGGATGACCATATGAAAACCACCTCTAAAAGTTCAATTAATGCAGAAACAGCATTTAAAGGGGGTTCTGGCAGCCATCAACCACCTTGATCTGTTTTCTGATGAACTTTTGATTGAGATCCTTACGCGTTTTGTTCTCACATTCCAACATTTTGTTTTCATCTTCCATTAACCCAATCTTCTCGCGCACCTCAATAAGCTCAACCTTCTCTTTCTTCTTAGCTAGAAGAATATTCAACATTTAAAGGTCAAGATGGCTGAATCCCTTTAAATGTGGTTTTTGTATTAATTGAACTTTAAAGGTGGTTTTTGTACGCCCTATTTTGAAGTTGGTTTCTAGAAAAACCCCTATAGCTTACAATCTAAACATCTTATATACATATGCTCAAAAAAGGAGTAAAATCAACAGGCCAAGTGGCCAACAGCAGAGCACTCACATAACAAACACGCCAATGACTAAATGAACGCAAGAATAACTGCCTCCTTTCACATTGAAATTGAATTAGTTATACCTGCAATGTCTTCTCACATAAGCTTAAAATTGCAAGCATAGCAGTACGGTGGACAATAGATGATTATGAGTTGCAAGCGAAATTCATCTGTCGAACTGTGTGTGTCATCATTCCTCGGCCTGATCATGTAAGCTATATTGCTCCTTCTATGCCTATGAACCAAGGAGGAAAGTATTGATCCCACTTAAAGAGAAACTAGCTAAGAACCATCACCTAGGACAGACTTTCACTAGCCGATGTAGCACCTCAAGCTAGACTTATATGGAACTCTAGGATTATTGAGCCTAGTACAGGTGCCTTTAGCATACCTGACCACTAATAAGAATCCACCGATCCTCCGACCTAAGCTACGCTGAAGTTTGAGGAAAACTATAGGGACATTAAAGAAGCTGGTGTACCTGTTACTAGCCCTGAGTCTAGCAGGAATCAAGCTATTGACACACTTCAGCTAACCAAGAACACTTAAGAACTAATTACTACTTTCTTATTGCATAAACATGATGTTAAACCTACCCTTTGGAAGTATCTTCAAGCGTAGACAGAAGCCTCATGGCATCACCATAACGCAGCCCACTAGATATAGTTGCAATCTGCAACAAACCAAAAAACCATAAAATACAGTAGACAAAAAAGGGTCAAGTGTAAAGAGCACAGCATCAGATATGGACTTACTCTTCTCCACAAACCAACAATTGAGTTGTATTTTTCCACTATTCCTCGCTCCTGAGATTTGAACAGCTTAAATCCTTGTGAAGCTATTTTTGGTTAAGAATGAACAAGTTTCTTGTTATCTTCATTCTTAGGCATATGCAGAATTAAATATTAGGAAACAATCATGATGAAATGTTCAAGAACAAGTCTAATCTCTTCCTCTTACTTCCCAATATTAGTTTGATTTCTTTAACTGTTTATATCCCTCCATAAATACACACAATATATGTGTGATGGGTGGGTGTGTAGATATTGGATATGACTTGCCACCTCATACAGGAAAATGTGCAATATAGAAGCGGTGGCGTCCATCTGTTCCGATTTGACTAGCTGGGTGGGCCTCACCACTAGTCTCTCTCTTGGCAGCTCATTTAGCAAAATGAGCTTCCACCTCACACCCATTTTTCATATGCATTTATAAATAGGGCTTTTTGTTTTTAGGTCCATTTGTTTATCTAGCTTTATCTTTAAACCCAAGAATTATTAGGTGTATCTTTAAACCCAACTTTTTTTTTGTATTTATCTTTAAACCCAATTCCAAAATATAATACTCTCATATGTGGGTCCCCCTATATAAGGAAATTGGGTTTAAAAATAAATACAAAAAGAAAGTTGGGTTTAAAGATACAACTAATAATACTTGGGTTTAAAGATAAAGTTAGGTAAACAAATGGACCTAAAAACAAAAAACCCTTATAAATATAGTCTATGGACATGTACATATTCATATACATGTACACAACATGTAACAAAACTGCATCAGGTGGGCGTTTGTACTATTAAGAATCGCTTAGTCAAAACGAAATAAACACAAGGCATTAGACTAATAATGGAATACTTTCGCTTGCTGGATTATAGAACTTAAAATGAGACAAAATCAAGGATACTGGTACGCTCAATAACTAGTAGGTGAATGGCTGTATTAACTGCTTGTATAGACTCCTCCAGAGCAGTAATTATATAGCTTCGAGCAATTACATCCAACTGGAAGCGTGAAAGATGCCAACCTTGGGAAGTGACTGACAAAGGATTGCAGCCTACTGACCATGTCCAGTCCTATGCAATTAACAAACACCGGGCTTAGAAACAGAAATTCGTATGAGATTAATACATAGAGATGAACAGAAGAACAAAATCAAGAAAAATTGTACGGGATTAATGCACAAAGATGAACAGAAGAACAAAATCACGCATTAGAAGGAAAACGAACAAGCAACACATTCCTCATTAAAGAAAGGAAAATGAAAAATAAAGAAAAGCAAAAAAGAAAAAGAAATCATCGCAAGTAGCTTTTAAAAATTAATCAATGAAATAAAAGAACAGAAGAGCGTGCTTTCTGACAGATTACATCCTATGACTTAATGGGCTACTGACCCAGGTCAACCAGGGACTATGTAAAGCATTATATCTAGTATATATCAAAGTTAAGCATCTGCCTTACATTTTTCTCAGATTATAACCAAATATAACCCTCTATCACTGAAGAACTTTGATGAAGATTCAACTTCCAAGTATAAAACAATTCCGAGTTTCATCTTTATGAAAAATCCATTGTTTTAGTTTGTTGATTCATCAACCAAAATAAAAATCAGGACCATAAGTCTTAATTATTATTTCTTTATTTCTTTCTTTCTTATGTTTTTTTGGGTTCGGGGGTGGGAGAGGAGGGGGTAGCTGACTGCAATGTTTTACAAGTTACGTTCTTGCATTTTATATTATTGCAACTAATCCGAGAAAGAAAGAACAAATCCAATGCTTTCTATTTTACATGAACAGAATGTGTACCTCGATAGCAGTTTCATGTGCTTGACTGTAAACTAGGTGAAGAGGAAGCAAACCAGCCAAGTGCTCAGCAGTTACAGCAATGGCAGCTTTTATGGGATTCCTATAAGAACAGTGGATTACTTTATTAGTATTATCTCACAATGAACACATAAATGAACAAATCAAAAAAATATTGCTCGACGATGATTTCAAAAAAATCAACCAGTTTTCAAAGCCACAGTTCCCAACAAAGGTACATACAAGAGAAAGGTTAACACTCGAATCACTTTCAGAGTCCTTTTATCTGTATACATGTGTGCACGTGCATGCATGTGTGGCTGTGTGCATGCGTGGATAAAGTTTTTTAGGGTAAGGTGGTATGCTTTTAATTACCCCTGCAGCAGTTCAGGTGTATCGGAACATTGATGTGAAGTATAACATCTTAGGGAGTTGCGAGAAACCGGATTTTGAAAGTAAATGTGCTTCAGTTTTCCATATCCATTTAAAATTAACTATCACTTGTCATATATAACAAAGTGATTTTGAAACAGAACTAATTTAATTCAGCGGTTGCATGAATTGCAAAAGGACGCAGAAGATAGCACATGGTTTTTAAGATTAGCTTAAGTAAGAAATATATTGATTTCAGCAGGCAAATAATTTGTAACAGGTAGGTCCTTTTTCTAAGGGGTACATTCACATAATAATCTGTACAGGGTATGAAGTTAGATAAAATGTCCATATAAACACACACGAATTGAACACTCCATACGCTGGATTAAATACAAATCCTCTGAAATGAATCACATAATACATGTTCTATGCTCAGTAACATAAATATTTTGTGCTGTTCACATATATGCTGACCTTAAATCCCATAGAAGTGACCTCCCATTGCACTGCAAGTGGCTCTCCCAAGATGATGAGTCAGACTGAACAACGATGATCATGTCAGAAAGTGCCTTTGCTTGATAATGTTTGTCGACAAACAGAGGATCCTTGTGAATAAACCAGAATATTGGAACTTCCAGTGTTGACCTGGAACTGGAATGAGATCCTACATACATTATATGAGTCAACAAAAAAAATAAAAAATTCCGCAGACTGAAACATAATTAAATAAAATCTGCATTCATGTATCCACTATATGAAAAAATCTTGATTAAATATGATACGATTTTCATTTTTATTAGCACCAGATCAATTTTGAGCTTCTTCCGGCATAATCAAATCTTTAAGAAGAAACTTACTAAGATCAAAGTACATACATCATATCCTATTAAGCAACTGATTCCATAACAGATTGTGGTCTTGGACATGACCTAAGAACTACTTCCTTATAAGCCAATTTTGGCCCTACCTGATTGAACATTTTAACCCCACTAAGTGAGCTTGCATTCCACTCTCAGATATGAAAATCTAAAATCCAGTCAGGTCAAGGACTTGGATGACTCAAATCCTCCTAAAAATATGTTGTGCATAGACAAGTACCTTTAAGTGAACCATGCTCGCTCAGCTTCTGTAACTGACTTTGAAGAATGGCGGAGTCTAGATAGGCACGAACAGTTGATCTATAAGTGCCATTAACTAGCAGAAGTGGGACAGCAGCAGCTCGTCGCGCCACAGAGAAAGCCATTGTCAGAGCGGGATCCTCCGAAAGTGATATCCTGGAGAGTTAAATACGACCATAACTACCATACTTTAGAAACAACACTTAGAAATACAATTTACCTGACAACAAGAAATTACCAGCCACCTCATTTATGGACATTTAAGAAGCATTACGATGTTATGCGTGTGAACCGCAATACTTACATGTGTGTACTAAACATAACGGTTTGGGATGGTGTAGACAGCGAGGAAAGGGCATCATTAAGGGCCCCCAGGTTAACAGGCAGTTTTTTTATGTTCCTGATTTTCTGAAACAAATGGCAGACATAAGAAGAAATTTCTAAACTAAATAACAGGACAAATAGAAAATATATATATAAGTACCTCTTCTGTAATAAAATATAACTGAAAAGTTATCTTTTCATAGTAATGGTAAGCCCCGTCAGCCACTGAGGGAGCAATTACATGTCTCAATGAACCCCAAAAAGTAGCCCCAAGGTGTGCAAGAAATGAATCCCGCGCAACTGTGTAACTCTGAGATTCCTGGAGGAGAATCAGTAATTCAGTTGGAGAGACATGAGATAGGACTGCAAAAAATAAACTACCCATAACCATAAGTTTTTTGTTTGCAACATCATTGATATTGCAAATGGTCACTTGACTTGTCATGCTGTAATACAGAGAAACGGTTCCCACGATGATCAATAGTAACAAAAAAACAAGATCACCTCTTGAGTGTCGCTGAATAAATTCCATTTTTCAACTCGTTTTAATGCATCAAGCGCCTTCTTTTTCTGGCTTTCATCAGAGTCTTCATTATTATAACCCTCCAGTTCAGTTCTCAAATCATGCATCCTCTCCACAAGTTCTAAATTGACAATATCCAATGGACAATATATCAGCAAAAAAGGCAACAAATAACACCTGAGACTAATATTTAATTAACTGATATTTCACTGTTATCTGAATTCTATAAGGTCCAATCCAAGAATTACATCATGACTTTATGTGCAGTGTTGCTATACAACTATAAAGGGGAATGACATTTCAGCCATAAATACTACATGTTATAAGAAGACAGATTTCTATATATAAAAGAAAACAACCACATGCATGTGACAGCATGTCAATACACTTATGATCCTCATAAATAAGAAAATTTAGCTTTAGCATAACAATGTATTCTCAGGGTTTAAAGTTTATCAGCTCAATTTACAATTAATATCAATAACATAACAAAGTGAGCTTTCAAAGCCAAAAACCCTTGCCAGCTCACAAGATACTAGAGCGTACCTTCACATAGAGAAAGCTTGACCTTTCTTCCCTTGCAATGTTTGAATACAAACAGTTCATAAATGTCGACCTCGGCTAATAGTATATCAATGGCTTGATGCTCCTGCAACAATATTTAGAAACACCCTTAGCTCGAGAATATGCAGGTAAAGATTATCCAACTATTTATGTAAAAAAAAGTTTGATGTATACCTTTTCTTTCTTTAAATACACAAAGATATTGTTTTAAGAGAGTTCTACCAAACAATAGGCTATTATGGGAGTACAGAGACCAAAAAGTTTGCCTTCTCCAGATGCTAGCAAATGCAGATGATTTTATCTTATTTCTAGAGAAGAGATTTCATCACCTCTTTTCATCCACTCTCTTGTGGATGGGTGACAGAAGCAGCTCTGGGTAAAACAAAAACTCTCCCATTCAACTTAACTAAATAATTGCAAGCAGATTAAGCACACTGTGATGTCTCCTTAAGATGGTCTCAGGCTATTTAGTTAGTCATAATGCAAGAAAGAAAATACGAGAAAAACAAAATTCATCATAGTGAGCCCAAAATGTTCACTACATAAAACATAAATCATAAAGCGAAACGATATAATGTAATCTCCCTATGATGTTCTACAAATAGAATTTATCACCAGTACAAGTTTACTAGCAAGATCCCTCAGGTGTAATCTCCTAGTTAGCAAAAGTAGGGTGATGTATACCAAAGCTGTTACAGCAATGATGAGTTCTACCATTAGAATAATTAGGGGTTTGACATGGGACAGTGGAAGCAATTATCCTAAAAGAATCTATTTAAGCTTTATGGGTTTCAACTTTTAGACCTTCAATTTAACTTCATCTGAAAGCTACTCAACATTCTCTACACTCTCTTCTTCCTTCCTTCTTATCCAGGTTAGGGTTTTATGTTTTCTCCTTTTCTTCGGTTTGATAAGCATAATTTGAGACTTCCTTATTTTTCTGGATGGCTTCTGTTAGTTAGGACCCTTAGGGACAACCAGTCTGGAGCTATTTTTGGGCTTAGAGGACTACAATAGTCCAATTGTTTCTGGCTGAAGTGATAAACCTCATGGTCGATTAATAGCCTCACATATTTTCTAATCATGACTTGCAGTAACAGCTGCAGGATATGGACATGAACAAAAGAGGTGTTTTCATGCATGTTAAAGCCATAAGAGATATCATCAACTATTTAGCTCTTGCGGTACCCACTATATAAGAATTAATAGCTTTTGGTCCCTCAGAACTCATTTTTTTCTTTTGAGGTTTCGTGATGGTTGAATATAAGCTTATCTCACCAATTCATGTAAGGTGCATAATAGAGAGATTTGGGAATTTGAAGTTACCGTGCCCTTGGTTTTGGTGGCAAGAGTCAAATCTAGAACCATCAAACTCCCATGAGTCATATTATAAGTTCTAGTTAGGTGATTGATTAGCAAAATCTGCTTGGATTAACATGGACCTATGTAGCACGGACACGGATCCGACACGGCCATCCGACACGCCGACACGAGGCAAATCCTAAAAAATACATAGAATACGTGTGTTCGACACGTGTGTCCGATACGGACACGACACGACACGGCTTCATGTTATGCGTGTCCGTGCTTCATAGACATGGACACAACGAAACCAAGGACAGAGTAAGTAAAATGTCCCGAGAATGTGACAGTTCATAAATTGTGACACGCAAATTTTGGGAATGCACACTATATAGTAAAAGACAAAACAAATAATGTGACTCCATCAGAAATCAATTCTATAGAGGAAAAAAGGACTAAAAAGAGAAGGAAAGCTAACATACATCAGCAAAAGATGAAAATTTCTCCCGAATTGCATCTTGCAATTTATCTTCAGCTTCTTCTTCTGTTATTTCTGAAAATAAAGAAAAAATCAATACTACAACAGAAAAAACCTCTTACAGACGCAAAGGCAAATGCATCTGATACACAACATGATTATGGAGACGTCATCACTTAGACAATATTGTACTCATCCAAATTAATTTCAACCCACAAAAATTTGCATATTATTTACAACGAGTACAAATAACCAACTTAGAAAAAAAAAGTTGTCTATTGAGTTGGAAGCTAATCTTAAAGAGAATGCTGGATCCCAGAGGCCTGCATGAGGGGTGTAAGAAAAAGGGA